TATTTACTTGATTTTAATAAAAAACTTTCTGGTTTCGGACAAACCATTTTAATAAGCTCTTATTTCCATCCATTTACTTACTAATTTTGGTTAACTTCTTTAAACTTTTGTTTTATACTTTATATTTCAATTTTCTTCGTGTGTTCTAATATTTCGAAAATTTGTGAAGTCCGCCAAACCACAGTGGGGTCTCGTGATGGACTATGCCCTGATGGAAGGCCTGCAATTTACAGAGGAGGCCTCTGCTTAGGAGTAGGACTTTTATGTTACTTTACTGCCTGTTACATTACTTTTTTATAAAAAATAATTACTTTTCAGCTCATCGTTTAAAGATCGATGCTAAGAGCATACCTTTGAGCATACATATGATACCATACCTTTGTTTGGCCCTCCGTGTTAAGGAGGGTTCTGCATGTGCAGTGTGCTATCGTGTTATTTAATGGGTACGAGTGGAATCTCAGTGATGTCTCATCAAAGTTCGGTACGGACTGTGACCGCGGTGGCACCAAGATGGCAATGCAGTCAATGTTCGAAATCACAGCTAAAGTTTTATCCGTACTGAGACTATTTTAAGCAACGAAAGAGGAATGCTTGGTATCAAATCAAATCAATAACTATTTTCTTATCCAAACGCTACTCTCATCGTTATCCTTACATGTGCATTATTTCAAAATATTTGAAAAAAGTTTCACACCTTTTTTTAATTATAAAATAATAACCCAAGAGACACAGCAGGACACACTTGATAATGTCAGCTAGTTTACCAATGTTTATTTTATAAGAAGATCACGTAAACTATTTTGTATGTTATACGAAGACTAATTAATATTTATTTCTTGTATAAACTAAACAGTATTTATAATTTATACCCTAGATAAAATTCTTAAACTTATTTATTACTTTCGGTTGATGTATTCACTGAGCGAAATCGCTCTGAATTATTTAGAGTCATAGGAGTGGCATCAATGTTTAAAGTGGTGATTACGTAGATACGTTCGTTCCCGTATCAAATGGAACTATGTTTTTAAACAGGAGAACTATTTCAGGTAATATGAAACGTGTAGCTTAAGGAGAATCATTTATGCAAAAATAATTAAAAAAGAAGATTCCTTATTTTATTGGAGTTTAAGTCTAAGGGTTAAGACTGACAAACGTTACCTATCGACGTTCGCTACATTAGAGGATTTTTTTTAAAATCAAAAACTCATATGTTGCGTTTGTGAATGCGTTGCCATCTTACAATAAAGTGGGCCCCGGTTACTTACTCAACAGACGAAACCCAGAAATATAACACTCCTACTGCGTATAATAAATATCGTTTAAGGCGTAATATTTCAAAAGGTACCTAATTACATTGAATTTACGAGAATTGTACGGAAAGTTAAATGGAACGATTTTATTTTTGTGTTATTAAATACCTATGGCGGTATCTTTATTACTTTGGCTTTAACAATGTGATAAACTTTCTCTTTAATCAACAGAGGAATTGAAATAATTATTTTTTTAAATGCACTTAGCAACTTCGGTAAACAGCCATTTCAAATTAAAGAATTCTCTAGCGCTACAATGGAACAAAGCAAAAAGTGAACCATTCTGAACAGGAAACTTTTATTTGCTTTGCAAACTTTCTGAAAGGGTGCTAGTTGGTGATAAGAAAGTTCTGGAAGCGATTTCTAAGGTACTCTTAACGAGAGGTAATAATATTATGTTGATTATTTAAATGTTCCGATCTCAGTACAACAAACAATGATCTATAAATAGATTAAAATATTTAACAACAATAAACGAGAAATTCAGAAGGTATTCTTATATAGTATATCTTATTCTTTATATTGCATTATATTCAGTATATTATATTATTCTACTACATTACATGTGTTAGGAACAGCGCTATTATATAATGATTATTAAATAAATGTGTCAATTAAAAGCATATCCTCGTTGCGATTAAAGAAAAGGAAGGATACAAATACTTTGATATTCCATGTTCGAACCGAAGTAGCATATTCCTTCACTACATAGTATAAAACAAAGTCGTCCCATTGTCTGTCTGTCCCTATGTATGCTTAGATCTTTAAAAATACCCAACGGAGCTTGATGCGGTTTTATTAAATAGAATGAATCAAGAGGAAGGTTCATATGTATAATACATTGCACCCGTGCGAAGCCGGGGCGGGTCGCTAGTTGTTTATAAATCAGCAATTTCGAAGTACGAATGTTTTAGTTTCAGAAAAATTGCTAGAATGTTTTTCACAGTCTATAATAGTGTAAGAAGCATCGCGAAAAGGATCAAGCAATTAGTTGCGCTGGTTTTTGAACCAAAATTTCCTTACATTAAAAATCTCGTAAGGTGAAAAAGGCAGCGGGATGAATGCTCTCACGTTCTGTTTTTGTATCACAACAAAGGATATTCACAAAAGATAGAGCGGATGTAGAGTTCGTATTTTTACTGCATTACTTGTATAACCACTCCGACATTGTCTCGCCTGTCTGCTGGCTTTTTAGTACGTTTACGTCGCTAGTCTTCAGTACTTTGTCCTCATTTGTATTCAATGTACGCGCTATTTTTCTAGTAATAAGCGTCGCCTGTATTCAGTATCTGCATTATCCTATATTCTATATTATTCCTATATTATTTTATGGCACGTCCACGAGCTTAAGTGCTGGCGTTCAATTGTTTTTTTCGTAAGTAATCATAATGTCCCGTTTTGATCACGTCATTCTTGGGTTGTTCCCACTAAATATTTATAGTATTGTATTTTTATACTCCTTATACTATTTTGTTGATTAGAGCTTTAGCAAGCATTAAAAACGGCTTTTCTGTAATTCTCTTTAGGTTATGTTGATGCGTAGATGCCTTTACCACAGTACTACATTTTAGTATAAGAAGCAGACAAGCCGCGATAGCTCATAGATCAGGCACTTGCTTTTAATTTGGTATATTGGAGCAACCTGGGGCCAATAAAAAATACTTCCAGAATATGTGAACTCTGCCAATCCCCAGTGGGGTCGCATTGTGGATTTTAGATAAACATGTGGATGTGGCCCTAAAACAATGGCCCTAAAATCAGATGGTAATGTAATTTTTTTTAATATTATTTTTATGCATTCTTTTAAAAAGAATAGCTTTCTGGACTCCTTCTTTATATTAATTATACGTGTGGGAAATTTCGTACTCCTCCGTCCGCGCAATTTTTGTAAAGAGGGGTACAAAGTTTTTGATTCACGTATTAATATATAAAAAGTTGTTGCTTTACGTTTATAGGCTACTTGCGTATACCGATGGTCTAGATGAAAGTAGTTAACGGCCTAACAATTATTAAGACTTGTTTCAATATTTTACCATAGCATATAGCCATTGGTTTTCATACACATGTCATGAAGTCCTGTGTTATAAGGTTACAATAATTATTATCTCCCCGAGTTACAAGGGAGCAACGGTTGTGAGCACAAATATTCCATTGAATACCTTAGTTTCAACAAAACTGACATTAATATATTTTTATCTAAAGGAATTTGAAATGGTGTTCAAAATTAAAATAGTAGCTAGAGGTGCCGAGATAAAAGCCATGTATGAAAAATTTATTCCACTCGCATCCGTTCCTAGCTCTTTGTGTTCGTAATTCCATTTTACTCATTTCTTTTCCACTGTCATTAACCCCTTGAAATGTCATTATAATTTACTAGTAAGTGAATTACTCGACGTATAAATGTAATAAGAAAACGAGTATATATTTTTTTTTTAAACTTTGGCTTTACTTTAGAATAACATTATACTGTGTTGTAAGGATATTTTACAAAACACGTGGACAAACAACCAAATGTCGCACAAATAGTGTCCCGCGTGGGATTCGATCCCCGACCTCCGACGCCGAAATCAACACTTTGGCCACCGCGCCTCGGGGTTATCAAACAATTTAGGGTTATCGTGATAGTATGTAGTGTTTACATTACAATAAAATTATTGCTAAGTTTAATTGTTTAATATCTCTTGATCGTGTGATTTATATCGAATGTTTCCGATGATCTGAATACAAAAACGAATGTAATTAAAAACACAATTTATGCGGCAAATCTTTAAATGGAGTGTTGGTAATTTAGTACTGCAATAAAAATATTCTCTGCACTATCATACAATCAATAAATTAGTTAGGAAATAAATTTTATCATCATAGTCATTTATTTTTTACGACAGCAAGTAAGACTTAGTTTAAATAAAAAAATACAGTAATAAACACTGTCTTTAAGATGAAAAATTTAAATTTAGGTAGAAAAAATATACGAAAACTTATTCTTTGGTGCGGGATTAGAAGCTATATCTTTCGGATTCGCGCCCAGACGTCTTAATAATTTACCTAAACTATGCAAGAATCCGGAAGTAATTAACTTTCCGTACATTTTTTCTACAAATTTTGAGCTAACTTTGCTCGTGTAAACGTTAACGAAATAAGTTCAAGTCTTACTGCATCAAGTTTAAACAAAACTAAATTACGTATTAATGTTAAATATAGGTTTGCGAAGGATCGGAAAGTTGGAAAGCAAAAATAGAAACAAAATCTCTTAAAGTGTACGCAGATGCGTATATGGAAACTTTGTTCAATTTAAATAAAATTCCCGTATTAAGGGCTGTTTCAACTAAAATTTTACAATTCAAGATTTATCCGCTTAGAAGTATATAAGGTTTAATTGATTGATCATCGAATTATACTGATTGAAACTATCAACAGTGTAATAACTGTACGGCAAATCATAATATAATCCCATCCAATGTAATTTTATGGATCTGTTATGTTTATGTTAAAAACATGTATACTTAGTTTACACGTTATGATCATATTATAAATTTAATTTTACTATCCTTTTTTCTACAAATTTTATATTTTCATCTAAGTGCAGCGTACATCACTATAAAAAATATTGTATCATTTAATTTGGAACTAAGTTTATTGATTTTATGTCTAAAATTTGTTTTAAGAGTTATACACTTCACCATTTCGCAGATCCATGGCAAACCCATCATACAACAGAGAATCCTTCCAAGTCCAGCAGTGGCGATTGATGCGCCACATCTGCTGGACCACCGTACACCGCCACCTGGTGACGAAAATAGCAACATCATATTCAGACCGTGGAAAGCATTTGGACCATTCGTCGATACAATACAGGTAATTTTTTTACCGTATGAGACTGTCAGGAACGCTAACCCTCTTTCCATTGAGTTATATGTTGAGCCAGTATGAAACAAGAAGGGAATTAAAATTTAGAAAGTATTTTAATTCACATCGTCATAAATGACTATTATTCACTTTAACACCAATGTCACGATCTAATAATATAATAATGAGGTCAAAGGGTAACATTTATATCTACATTTATTAAAGTCATTACATCCATAATATCCTGTATGGGCGAACTTACGAATTCGGCGAGGATTTTTTTTTATGTGAAAAGTTATGAAGCGAACAGGCGGTTCAGCTGATGCTAAGTGAATACCGCCGCCCACGAACATCTAAAAAACTTGAGGGCTTTTTAGATGCATTTAAAACTTTTAAAAAAGCAGGCCCTGTCACTAGAGCAAACACGAAAGTATAAAACTTCCACTTCAAGCTGATTTTTTGAGCCGATGAGGCCGTCGTACTACCCCGGCCTGCCCATTCGTACAACACACACATACATATAAAGTACATATAAAGAAGTAGTAAAAATGTTGTAGATTGTATTGTTATTATTTATTTATTACATACAGGGAGATATTTTTAAAGGTGCCCAAATTTACACAGAGGTTCAGACTCGGTAGTATAATCGTGTATTGAAATAAAAACTTTTTTTTTTCAAAAAAATTACCATTCTGTTCCCTAAAAAACAGAAACGTTGTTGACAACGCGGTAGTCATTCATAAATACCTAAATTTTACTGTTCACGCACACAAACGAACTTGTGTTCGTGTTAGTTATGAATGGTCGCGTGTAAAATAAATGAGTTGCGCATAAATCACGCACTTTTTGAGATAAGTTCAAATGAATTAATTACAAGTGATTTAAAATATTCATCTTTTTTATATAACATTATTTATGCCTAGAATTTATTTAAAAAATGGATACACTTAGAAAAGCCTGGCTGTAAATTAGTAGCACACTCCGCTGTTTTGAAGCAAAAATTGTTACACCAGCTTAATATTTCTTTTCTTTGAAATTTAAGGGGCAGGTCTTTTCAATGCCTAATTATCTATGATGTGCACAGCTTAAAAAAGCGCTACTTGCTGTTATAGAATGCTGTTTTCTGACTTTATTAATAGCAAAAATAAAAAGTCTTCAATTTTTAATAACTTTGACGTAACTTCCATCAAAATAATTATATTTTACCGCCGTCATTAATTAAAAAAAACTGCCACCATTAAAAAATAACACGCACTTCGATGTAGTGAAATTTTAAATGATTTACGAAAGAGGAATTAAGAATTTCTTGAACAATTATTATACACTAATTGCTTTCAGACATTGATTAATGATATTCCACCCGAGCGATGTTTCCGTCCTCAATCATTTCGGTTTTGGAACGTATCCATTACTTAGATGAAGTTATATTTGGAAGGAAATAGATTGGCGATTCCCTCGCACTTAATTTATGATAAGTAGCTTATTACGGAGCTGTATTTAGTTGTTATTCCCCCGATATCCCTATGTCCATAACATTGAATATTACATGCCAAAGAGTTTATACTTACTAAACTTTTATATTAAGTAACTTGTGTTTGAAATTTTGAAAACGCGTTTGAGAAAAAAAAACAGTTTTACAATTACATATGCAATAGCATACGATTACGTCACTAGCCATAAAATTATATTTATCATTATGTATATTCCTCAATACTTTCAAATTGCTAAATGTACTTCTGACACTAATAAAATTACATTATAAACTATCATATTGGTAATTTAGAAACTTTTAATGTTATATAGGTATGCAAATAGATATTATTCTCATGACTGAAATCCTTCACTACAGCTTAAATCCATGTGCGTGGCAAAACGAAGAAGCAATATATGAAAATCCATATTCTTTCTTCGTAAAAAGTTCTTTTAGTTAAAAGCATCAATTTGTCTAATATGTATTCTTTTTTTACTTCGTCTCTTAGCTTCTCTTACTCTTTTATTAGGATGGTGAACTACTGCCTAGTCAGGATACTGTGCTGTTTCCTAAACCACGACAAAACGACGGTGTCTTAGAAGATGACGTCACGGACCCCATGCCTACTGTGGAGTCATCGAAAAAGGTATTTTAAAATGGCATGGTCGTTATTTAATAGTTCGTTATTTATTTTTAAATTTTAAAGTTTTTTAAAGTGCTAATCTCTGCACTAAAGATTGAATGCATTTGAAGCAATGCTTCAAATGCATTCAATCTTTAGTGAAATCTAAATAACAATGTAGAAAGAAGGCGTTAAGATTTTCGTCGCTGTGGCTATCAGCCGTTTAGCTCAGTGGCTAGAGCGTCAGGCCGCGAATGCCAAAGACGTGGGTTCGATTCCCACAGCGGCGACAAACTTTTCGTAATTTTTCTACATGTTTTAATGTGCAATCTTTAGTGCAGAGATTAGCACTTTAAAAAACTTTAAAATTTATAAAAAGCAATGGCGACATCTCTAATTCGAATTATCGTTGTAAAACGATATTCGAAATTGTTTGTATGCTGGAAAGGATATAACAATAGATGCGCCACGCATTGCTTCAAATGCTAAATAACAATGTAGAAAGAAGGCGTTAAGATTTTCGTCGCTGTGGCTATCAGCGGTTTAGCTCAGTGGCTAGAGCGTCAGGCCGCGAATGCCGAAGACGTGGGTTCGATTCCCACAGCGGTGACAATCTTTTCGTACTTTTTCTACATGTTTTAAAGTTCGTTATTTTCTTATAAATCCAAGTTGCTTAAATAATAAAATCTACAACAATCGGATTCTTCTTACTCATCAGTAGTATCAATTCCTTTTCAACTCTATGAACTGGATACAGTTTTTTGAGGTCTTTTGATTATTGAAACTTTGCATAATCCACGGAGCTGAAAGCGAAAACATCTAATATATAATAAGAAGGTACTGATTGAGTGATCTATCACCGCCCAGCCTAAACCGCTGGGATTAGGAACTTTAAATTTTGAAGTAGTTTTAAAGCTTTTGTGATTTAGAAAACACAGCCTTCAGCTAGCATCTCTAGGGGGTAAAATTGGATGAGATTTGAAACTTTTCGTTTAGGAAACTTTCAGAATGACAAGTATTGAGTGCTAGATTGGAAATTATCGATTTTGAACGGACCTTCTTACATGTCCCGTCCGAGAACTGAGCGGACTGATAAGTTTTATAGAAAACTGTAATTAGGATTTTGGAAAATCTCCAAAGATAAAAAAAAAACGTTATGGAGTATTGTATAAATATTATGTATTTTATAATCGGACCGTTTTACATGTTCCGGTCGAGTGGAATGATAAGAAATTTGTAAAGTGTAATCTGATGAAAGTAAACAATCTCTTAGGTAGCCTCCATAAGCCAACTGTCCTTCATGGTGCGGCCGGACAGCTTCGAGCGCGGGCAGCTTCGTCTCACGTGCATATCGACAGTGCACTCGCTGTACAGCGAACAGGCGGAGCTGGTCATCAACGAGGAGCGGCCTCAGATCGCCTCCGTCCTCGGCACCCGCGATCGGGCTGGTGCGTACTGCTCATACAATAGCTTCTAGAAAAACGAAACCATTGTTAGAAAAAGTAAAAAGATCTTTCACGCTTTGATCTTTGCCGATTTAAGTCAATTCTTTGTTACGTTCGAACGGACGTTTTAAGTGTAGCAAATGTACAAGTGTAATGGAAAGCTTACATTGAACCAATAGTGACGCAGAATTAAAAGCGTTCAACTTCAATCGAGATCGTTGAAAGCTTTTGCTAAATAAAGTTATAAAGAAAAAAAACTTTAGTGTCGGCGCAATTGTTGCAATAATATAGCCTTTTTGAACCATCATAACTCACAAAGATAAGTAATTAATCAAGATAACCTGTGGCTGGGACATCTATTTTCATCTGTTCTTCCAGAAATACAACCTTGTCTTACAATAAGCACATATTTAGAGCTTTTGAGATCTATACAAACAATAGAACAAGACAATTTATTAAGTAGTTTATTAAATTTCTATGATCGTATGTATTCTATATACCATGACTATGTGGGTGACGAAAATTAAGACTTTACGAGCTTTTGAATTTAATATAGAACATGAAATCTAAAGAACGACAAGTAAAGAGCAATTCACTGCTGTCACCTGCACGATATTAAATACGGCAAGAGGTTCTAATAGTAAAGTGAAACAAGAAAACCGACCGGACTTAGCCAACGAAGAATTTTTATATTTCGGTGTAAACACCGCCTTTGAATACGTAGAAAGCGAACCAATCCCACTCAACAATTCAAATATTTGCTGCAACTGACTGGCACTGCAATTTGCCCGCTGAGAACTTTCGGCCAGAAACGAGAGTGCTCCTCGGTGAGTGAATAAATATGTTGAAATGAAAAAAAAAAATCTGTTTCCAGCCACTATGTCAACATAATTACGGGAGCAGTATTCTAAATTAAAATATTAAGCGAACCGTGAAATTGTCGACTCCACGAAGGAAGTTGCAAGTAAGAATAGTTCGTAAGTTAAGACTTTCAATTCTGTGACAGAAACACTGAAAGTTAAAAAAAGTTGGAACTTCAGACAGCGTATCAATATTTAATTTAAAATAAGTAGTAAATTAAAAAAATCAACAATTTACCGAGGTCCTTGATATATAAATGTATCATTATCATCGAATTATACTTACACTCGCATTGATGTTTCAAAATTAAGTTATAGTTCAGTATTCAAACAAGCGATCTTTTCAATTTACAAACAAAAAATTTGTAATAAAAGACAAAAAAGTCTATGTCCTTTTCCTTCGTTGCAAACATAAACTTTAATTTAAAGCAATAATACTGTAATCGCAAGATGAAATGTCCGTGCTAGACATATCATCTACTCTGAAGCCTTCAGACTAGTGGAAGTCTGAAGGCTTCAGAGTAGAGGATATGCTTAGGCTAGGCTAGGACTGCCATGCTAAAGTCTGAAGCACTAAAATATAGATCGATCGTTTATATCAATATTCAAACGCCACCCGCTTACAAAACGCGCTATGAAAGTTCACGGGGCAATTCTGCTTCGATAACAAACATAATAATGGCGGTCGTCAATAATAAAGCACGAATCGATTCGAATAAGCGGCGTACGAGCCTACAATTCACCGTGTATGGAGGCAATCACTAAAATATTTGCAGCCATTGGCTTTCACCCCAGTCAGCTTGTATACAGTCTGAATATTCCGGCCGGCTGAGCAAAGGTAATGTTTAGTGTAGATGTGATGTTGCACCGACTATGTTTGCCCGGCATCGCTGGGAGCAAATACGAAACGCTGCGTAAGTCACAAACTACCTTGTCGAAAGATTCTGTGCTTCGACCGGCGCTGTGTAAATTCAATTGGTGTGTGTGTGTGTGTGTGTTTGTGATTCGCTCCCCCGGAAGCAGAATTAACGTTCATAGTATTGCCATAATGTCCTGGAATTTACGTTTGAATAACGTTTTTGTACAATATTAGTCACATCAGAGAAGTTATATATTGTACCTGTAACATTTCACTATACGTAAGTACAAGTAACTCCTTTTGAACTGCAGATTCTAAGAATAAATTAAAATTTAACGTAATTGCTTATCTAGTAAGGGAACGAAATTTAATAAGGTTTTTATAAGCATTAAAAATGAGACATAAGACAATGTATAATATTATAAATTTAAGGTTAGCTATAATGAAAAAAAAAATAATTAGTAGCTATAACGAGTATCACTGCTTAATGCAGTATCTTTTCACATAAAAAAAACCACTGTCACATAAATAATGCTACATGAAGCGTTGTTCCGATAAACCAATCGTTGTCTGAAGACCGAAACAATGCGAGCCGAATATCACATACAATAGACAATTCTTATAAAACGTTATTTCGAACTGTCTGTGCGCTCGAATAAAAATTCACGGTGAATAGACAAGGAACTGGTTATCACTTGGCGTACCTGAAATAATGAGCTTACTGAACATATTTCTTCCAATAATATAAAACAAACGATATTTCGTCGACCTAAATACTTCCAATTTAAGAGTCTTTTCTAACAATAAGTGCAAATATGTAAGCTAAGTCTGTATTAGATTGAGTTAGTCTATATCGGTTATCTCGAAAGATATTACTCGTAGTTTATATTACGGAACGAAAGAATTTTTCGGTCTGCTTTACTTCTGGCTTAAAATTTATGACAGGAATTTAATAATATTTTACACTAAACTGAGGTGTAAAGAGTGTTATTTCTTATATGCGTGTGTATTTGTCTTATTAATGTGTCTATGTTTGTGTCGGTGATTAATCACTTTACTAGCGCCACCGCTATTATACCGCTGGGCAGGCTCTTCTGCGAAATAAAACGAATTCATAGAAGACTGACATAAACTGGGACTATCATACTTTTGCTTTTCGTCTGGTGAGTGAGGCAGCCGGGGCTCTCCGTTTTAAAGGTTGTAAGCATAACTGCAATCCCTCTGGTGTTATGAGTATCCAAGTACGGTGGTAATCACTTTGCATTGTCTCATAACAGCCGCATTAAAAAAAAGTGCTTTTTTTTCTAAAAATATTTAAATCGAAAGTTCTCCTTCAACAAGCTTTCCAAATTCACACTCTTAACCGTACAATAATCATAAGCCTTAAAGAAGAAGTATACAGAAATAAACATTCTCAATCTCTTCTTCTTAGTTACTCACCATTCTGTTGTTTTGTTAATTTTCTTTTTCCCTTTTTCTAAGTTCAAATACGTATTGTTTATCATCATTATTATACCACCTCGTTCATATTCCACAACTAAATTCACAGAAACAAGCATTTTCATCTAAAAGCAAGCCTTCCAAAAGTGTACCCATAAAATCCTAAGTAAGCAGTGAAAATTGATAGGGAAACAGAAACAACTTGCATATTACATCACATAAGTAACCAACTCGCGCGGAAACTGTTGCGAACTTTCGCCGAGCGTTAAAAACAATTTAATTATTCGTCTAACTCCGTTGCCCACAACTTGCAACCAACTTGACGCGCCGCGTTCACTGTAACTTTGCACTGCGTTATAAGCTTTTGTGAAATATTATATCTCGCGCAGCGGCAGATCCTACTTACTTGCGTGCATTTCAATACTTTGTGTTTTTATTTTTGTTGAAGTTGATGATGACGTGCGTTGAGAATGCACACTATTATATTATAGCATTGCAGATACTTATAATTGAGGCAATATTAAGTATTTGTACAAACTGTATTAGCTTTACTTTAACTTAACGAATTAAGAAGGTAGAAATATAAATACTTTTATCAAATCACCGTAGTTTTACTTTGTACAACAATATATTAATTTGTGATACCGATTGGGCAGCACTATCGCGTATACTTCTTGTTGACAGCCAAAAAAGACCATGAAATGCTTCGTGCACCTTGATTTATACTACATAGAATGACACTTCCTTTAGTGTTGCCCACAACTGTTTATTTCGCATGTCAAATACATTGAAATCAAACATTAAAAAATAAATATCAAACAAACAGTTCTTCATCTTTCTTTCCACATCTGTTCCGTCAGCAGCTACAACACTTCTGTTTCTCATTTTGCTTTATCGATATCGAAGTATATTTATTTATCGATATTTCTTTGCCACGAATGAGTTAGGCTTGTCCAGGTACCTTGGCCACTCAAAAGACAAACATCAAGTGAAAATGTTACACTTTTGCGCTTCGTCTGCTGAGTCATGTAATTGTGGCTAGATGTCCATGGTTGGCGGTAACCACATAACATCAGGTGAACTGCTTGTTCATTTGTGAACTTTTCACATAAAAAGCGACTTCTACTATACTTTATGGATTTTATCTATTACTTACCTGTGTTATATAAATTTTCAAAGCATGGGAAATAAAATAAAATTTACTATAACGTATTATATATACCAATTAAATCCCTTAACAATTTCTGTTGACGACAGTTTATATATTTGTCTATGTAAGAAGATGTCAAGCGATCTAGCGGTACACTTTATATTCACACCGCCGCCAATGGACATTTGCAATACCTTTAGGGTTGCAGATGCATTTCCTCCTTTAAATAAAGTGGCCCTTATTGTTAGTAATGGTAGCATAATAATATATTGGACTGTGTGAATAAAGATATGACTGTGTAAGAGGTGAGTATTGAATATTGAGATTAGCTGTCATCATGGAACAGCAGAATGTGAAAGGGAAGCACACGTTGTGTCGACCCAAACTATTGCGTTACAAAAGAAAGAGAAGGAAGAAGATTGTCAATATCTCTTTAATGCATTCGATCTTTTCCAATTTTTCTCATTAAAAAAGCTCATGAGCCGTGATAGCTCAATGTTCGGGTGCTCGCCTTTAATTCAATATACTCGAGCAACCTGAGTTCGATCCCCGGTGCCGGCACCAATGAAGTTTTTAATTTTAAGTGCTGACTTATCACGTGCTCCGCGGTGAAGGAAAACATCGTGAGGAAACCTGCATATTTTCGAAATAATAACAAAAGAAATATTTCGAAGATATGTGAAGTCCGCCAATCGGCATTGGGCCGCGAGGTGGACTATG